TTCAGATTTTCTACTTGGGGAAGAGACTGACTTGGTCCCAGTAATTTTTCAAAATAACAGAGACCAAAGTTGAGTTCAGTTCCTTAAAGATTCTCTTATCTCTGATCCAGCTCTTGGGACAAAGGAGATCAGTGAGGAGAGGGTGAGACTGGAGATTGCAGGAAGAACTGGAAGAAAACAAGCCTATAAGGGGCAGAGGCTCCCTGGGGCATAGGGATGCACCGTAATCATCATCAACAACAGTCTTCCCATTACTGAGCACCTACTATGTGCTAAGGATTGTACAGGGCTCTTTTCACACGTTGTCTTGTGGTGATCCACATAGCAGCCTTTGAGTGGGTTACTACCACCCCTATTCTATTTTTTTATTATTTTTTGAGATAAGATTGTCCAGGCTGGAGTGCAGTGACATAGTAACGGCTAACTGCAGCCTTGACCTCCTGGGCTCAAGTGATCCTCCCACCTCCACCTCCCCAGTAGCTGGGACTACAGGTGTGCTCCACCGTGCCCAGCTAATTTGAGAATATCTTTTGTAGCTAGGCATCGGGGCTCACACCTGTAATCCCAGCACTTTGAGAGGCCAAGGCAGGTGGGTCACCTGAGGTCAGGCGTTTGAGACCAGCCTGGCCACCATGGTGAACGCTGTCTCTGCTAAAAATACAAAAATTAGCTGGGCGTGGTGGTGTGCCCCTGCAACCCCAGATACTCGGGAGGCTGAGGTAGGAGAATCATTGAACCCAAGAGATGGAGGTTGCAGTGAGGCAGGATGGTGCCACTGCACTCCAGCCTGGGTGACAAGAGCAAAACTCCATCTCAAAATAAAAATAAAAATATATTATCTTTGTAGAGATTAGGTCTTGCCAGTTTGCCCAGGTTGGTCTTGAACTGCTAGGCTCAAGGGATCTGCCTGCCTTGGCCTTTTCAAGTTTTAGGATTACAGGAGTGAGCCCTGTACCTGGCTCCCAAATTTTTTTTTTTGAGACGGAGTTTCACTCTTGTTACCCAGGCTAGAGTGCAATGGCGCGATCTCGGCTCACCGCAACCTCCACCTCCTGGGTTCAGGCAATTCTCCTGCCTCAGCCTCCTGAGTAGCTGGGATTACAGGCATGCGCCACCATGCCCAGCTGACTTTTTTTATTTTTAGTAGAGACGGGGTTTCACCATGTTGACCAGGATGGTTTCGATCTCTTGACCTCATGATCCACCCGCCTCGGCCTCCCAAAATGCTGGGATTACAGGCGTGAGCCACCATGCCCGGCCCCTAATTTTTAATATATGATATATTCATTTGATGAAGCTGTAAGATAGAGTTACATATGTGTGCACATGTATTTATGTATATCAAGTTCCTATGTATATGTGTGTAGGAAGGGGCTTGTGGAGGTGGAAGTGTCTCAGGGACACAGAAGTCATAATGGGGCCCTGGGGGCCTGTAAGCAGAATGTTCCCACAGTCCCTACGGCTGCCAGGAGGAGGTGACTGCTTTCTCCATAGCTGACACAGGTGGGGCACGGGGCTCCTGATAATAATAACAAATAGTGTCCATTAAGTATTAACGAAGGGCTGGGCGTTATCTCTCTTCATCCTCATAACACTTAGTGTTCTCATTTCACACCCGAGGAACCTGAATTCAGAGGTCACCTGACTTGGCTCAAGGTCACACAGCTAGGAAGAGGTGGAGCCAAGAGTTGAGCCCTGTATCATCCGCAAGTGACTTTTTTTTTTGAGATGGAGTCTCACTGTGTCACCCAGGCTGAAGTGCAGTGGCATGATCTTGGCTCACTGCAACCTCTGCCTCCCGGGATCAACTGATTCTCCTGCCTCAGCCTCCCGAGTAGCTGGACTACAGGTGCGCACCACCACGTCCAGCTAATTTTTGTATTTTTAGTAAAGACGGGGTTTTACCATATTGGCCAGGCTGGTCTCCAACTCCTGACCTTGTGATCCACCCGCCTCTGCCTCCCAAAGTGCTGGGATTACAGGCGTGAACCACTGCACCCCGCTAGTATTCTTTTAGTTAGAAGCAAGTCACCATGTCCAGCCATGCTCAAGGGGAGCCGAGTATGCAAGGGTGTGATTACCAGGAGCTGGCCATCACTGGGGCCATCCCAGAGGCGGCCACCACACAGAGGGCTCAAGGTCACACTGGAGGTCAAATGTGCTTTTCGCTTAGTGAGGAAAGTGCCACACGCCTCGGCAGGCTCCTAAGCAAGGGATTGGTTGTCAGACAGCAAACTCTGCTACTTTCTCATTGTGTGAGTCCTGGGATCCTTAATTCCCTACCTGAAAAATGGGGCGCGAACAGAGTTCCCTTGAGAATTTACAGTGAGTTGATAACGATGAGGGCTGGAGAAAGTGGTTCGGAATGTGCAAAGAGTAACCATTCAGAAAGTAACACCTGTGGAAAGTAGCCGTTGTTAAGGGGACAAGGTTACAGACGTGAGTATCAGGATTTCTCTTCTTTCTTTCTTTTTTTCCTTTGAGACAGAATCTGTCACGCCACCCAGGCTGCAGTGCAGTGGCACAATCATGGCTCACTGCAGTCTGGACCGCCAGGGCTCAAGTGACTCTCCTACTTCATTGAGTAGCTGGGACTACTGATGTGTGCCACCATGCCCGGCTAAGCTAAAATAGATTTTTTAACAACCACATAGAGACAGGGTCTCACTATGCGGCTCAGGCTGGGCTCGAACTCCTGGACTCAAAGTGATCCACCCACCTCGGCCTCCCAAAGTGCTGGGATTACAGGGTTGAACCAGCACACCCAGCTATTCCTTTTTATTTTTCTTTCTTTTTTTTTTTTTTGGAGATGGAGTCTTGCCCTGACACCCAGGCTGGAGTGCAATGGCGCTATCTCAGCTCACTGCAACCTCCGCCTCCCGGGTTCAAGCAATTCTGCCTCAGCCTCCCCAGTAGCTGGGATTACCGGCACTCACCACCACGCCTGGCTAATTTATTGTATCTTTAGTGGAGACGGGTTTCACCCTGTTGGCCAGGCTGGTCTCGAACTCCTGACCGCATGATCTGCCCGCCTTGGCCTCAAAAAATACTCTTTTTCTTTTTTTTGAGATAGAGTTTTGCTCTGGTTGTCCAGGATGAAGTGCAATGGCACGATCTCGGCTCACTGCAACCTCCACCTCCCAGATCCAAGCGATTCTCCTTCCTCAGCCTCCTGAGTAGCTGGGATTACAGGCATGCACTACCACGCCTGGCTAATTTTGTATTTTTAGTAGAGATGGGGTTTCTCCACGTTGGTCATGCTGCGACCTTAGGTGATCTGCCTGCCTTGGCCTCCCAAAGTACTGGGATTACAGGCATGAGCCACCGAGACTAGCGTTTTTTCTTTTGTTTCAGTTTCTCACTGGTATAAAATCTATACACAGCAAAGTACTTCAATCATACCTGTGGTCATGTTCCCCGTCCTTTGAACATTCTTTTAAAACCAGTGAACTGTAAACTCCTTTTACTTTGTGTACTTTCTGAAACCTCCTCTAGTGAGCTAATATTATTATAATCAGAAAAATGCCACCTTTAAAAGGTATGGTTTCTGTTGATTAGTTTCCGTGGAGAAAGCGTTTTAAAACTCCTTATCTTGCTGAGGCTTTACCGTGCCCCTGGGAGAAAGGCCGAGAGGGGATCAATTTTCTTGTGGGTGGAAAGAGGAAGTCACTCCCCATTTGGAGCCAGCTGGGGACCGAAGGTGGTGTCCTACGTCGGCACTGGGCAGTGAGCCACCTGCAGGCTCCTGGCACCGAGTGCCCTCGGCAAGGCCAGCTCCCCACACCCTGCCCGGGGTGGCCGCCGCCAACTCTGATGGAAAATGCTCTGGCTCGCCAAATCCTGAGCTCTAGAAAAGTTCTCCTTCTGGGAATCTGCCCTGCATACGTTGTCACGGTGTAGCCGACCTTTATGTCCAAATAGATTTAATGCAGCATTAATGTGAGTGTTTTGCAGAAGGAAATTGGCTAAATAAATTCAATTGATGGAAGGTAGAGTGTTTTGCAGGTGTTGAAGTATGGTTCTGAAATATAGATTTGTGGTCTTTAATGTTTCCCAAATGAAGAAAGATAAACAATTGCACGGACAGAGGGGTGTCTGTGATATAAACGTGCGGAAAACCGCCTGGAAGGAAACGTGCCAAAAGAGTAAGCGGGTCCCTGGTGGCGGTGGGATTATGAGGGATTCTTCTTCTTCTTTAATACCTCTAATTGTCTGCAGTAAGCATGCCACTTACACAAGTAACAGAAGTCAAGAGCAAAGCGTTTTCATCCTCCGTGTCCCCCACTCAGCCCTCCCACTCCTTCTCCGCCTTTATTTATTTTTTCTTTGAGTCGGAGTCTCACTGTCGCCCAGGCTGGAGTGCAGCGGCACAATCTCGGCTCACTGCAACCTCTGCCTCCTGGGTTCTACTGATTCTCCTGCCTCAGCCTCCCGAGCAGCTGGGACTAATAGGTACCCACCACCATGCCCAGCTAATTTTTGTATTTTTAGTAGAGACGGGGTTTCACCATGTTGACCAGGCTGGTCTCGAACTCCTGACCTCAAGTGATCCACCCACCTTGGCCTCCCAAAGTGGTGGGATTACAGGCGTTAAGCCACCGCACCTGGCCCTTCTCCGCTTTTGACCATTTGTTGTAAATACTCTGAGATCTTTTCTTTGACTCCATGGATTGGTTTTGAAACCTACATGTCTGATCAGATAAATAATAGGGTGAGGGAAGGAGAAAACATAGTATTTTCTGAAAATGAATCATGACATCATAGAAAATTAGAAGGTTAGGCTTTTTATTTTTTGCAAAGCAAATCTCTCTTTTTACAGACAGGGAAGCTGGGCTCAGTGAGGGAGGCTGGGAGCGCTGTCAAGCGGCCGCATTGCGGTTTGTTGCGGAGCAGAGCTGGGGCCGCCTTGCCTCTTGGGCTCTGGGAGTGCTGAGGATGGGGAGGCTGGGCTGAAGAGGGGCCAGGAGGATGCTCGGGGCGGGCTGGGGTGGAGCTGGCTGAGGAGTCTTCTGCCTATTTGTTCTGGGTACTGGGAGATGCAGGCGGGGAGACACCCGGTAGAAAGGGCAAAGTCCTCATTTATGGCCTTGGGGGAGTTAATGTGTAATATTCTAAGATATAAGCTTGACCACGAGTTGAGACCCTGAGCACAGGCCTCCAGGAGCCGCTGGGAGCTGCCACCAGGAGCTGTCACCGCGATGGTGAGGACACCAGCCCCCTGCTGCCTGCCCCACTGTGTTCACCTATGTCTTTGCCTGGGTGGGGACTTTCAGGGAAAACCATTTCTGTCCCTCTCTGGGCCTCAGTTTCCCCATCTGTGCAGCAAAGAAGTTGGACAGGGGTCTTTATTTTTAAACAGTGTCTTGCTCTGTCGCCAGGTGGAGTGCAGTGCTGACGATCACAGCTCACTGTAGACTTGACCTCCTTGGCTTAAATGATCCTCTCACCTCAGTGTCTTGAGTACTTGGGACCCCAGGCATGCAACACTGCCTAATTTTGTTTCTTTTTTTTTGAGATGGGGTCTTGCTCTGTTGCCCAGGCTGGAGTGCAGTGGCACGATCTTGGCTCACTGAAACCTCTGCCGCCTGGGTTCAAGCAATTCTCCAGCCTCTGCCTCCCAAATAGCTGGGATTACAGGCATGCGCCACCATACCTGGCTAATTTTTTGTGTTTTTAAAGCAGAGACAGAGTTTCATAAAGTTGGCCAGGCTAGTCTCGAACTCCTGACCTCAAGTGATCTTCCTACCTCGGCCTCCCAAAGTGCTAGGATTACAGGTATGAGCCACTGTGTCCAGCCTGTTTCTTATTTTTTATAGAGATGAGGTCTCACTGTGTTGCTCAGGCTGGCCTCACTGGGCTCAAGTGATCTTCCCGCCTTGGCCTCCCAAAGTGCTGAGATTCCAAGTGTGAGCTACTGTTCCTGGCCTCCATTGATCTTTATGGAGATAAAAAATCTCAGCTTGGGCAATATAGTGAGATCTTATCTGCCATAGGTGCATGGCACTATGCCCCGCCTTAAAAAATTAGCTGGGCATAGCGGCACGCTTCTGTAGTCCCAGCTACTTGGGAGGCTGAGGTGGGAAGATCACTTGAGACCAGGAGGTTGAGGCTGCAGTGAGCCATGATTGCACCATTGTGTTCCAGCCTGGGTGACAGAGTGAGACCTTGTCTCATACACACACGCACACACACACACGCACGCACGCACACACACACACACTCCAAGGCTTGGAGAGTAAATTGCCCAAGGCCACAAGCTGCAAATTGCAGGGGGTTGAGTAGATCCCCACTGACGTCCCTGATTCTTTGATTCCACACCTGTTCCTGCCATAGCTTACTGTGGGGCCTTGGCCAAGTCACTAACCCTCTCTGAGCCCCAGTTTTTACCCATATCTGTGGAATGGGCTGACAGGCGGCATCTTCTGAGGATTAGATGGTATATTCATTGCCTAAGGGTGCAGTAACAAGTTACCACCAAATTGTGAGTGGCTTCACACAATAGACGTTTACTCTCTCTAAACAATGTCTAAAGCCTGGAACCAAGGGGCTACAGGGCTACGCTCCTGCCGAAGGTGCTAGGGGAGGGTCCTCTCTGGCCTTTTTCAGCATCTGGTGGCTCCTGGCATTCCTTGGCTTGTATCACTCTAATCTCTGCCTCCGACTTCACATGGCTCCCTCTGTGTGTCTCTGTCTTTGTGTCCATATTTCTCTCCTCTTTTTTTTTTTTTTTTTTTTTTTTTTTTGAGATGGATGCTCACTGTTACCCAGGCTGGAATGCAGTGGCGCAATCTTGGCTCACTGTAACCTCTGCCTCCTGGGTTCAAGTGATTCTTCTGCTTAGCCTCCCGAGTAGCTGAGATTACAGGCACGTGCTACCATGCCCACCTGATTTTTGTATTTTTAGTAGAGACGTGGTTTCACCATATTGGCCAGGCTGGTCTCGAACTCAGGACCTCGTGATTGCCCACCTCAGCCTCCCAAAGTGCTGGGATTACAGGCGTGAGCCACCGCGCCTGGCCCATATTTCTCTCCTCTTATGAGAACATCGGTTGTATTGGATTTACGACCAACCCTAAACCAGTATGACCTCTGACCTCTTAACTCGATCACATTGGCAAAGGCCCTATTTTAAAGTAGGTCACATTGAAGCCAGGTGCGGTGGCTCACACCTGCAATCTCAGCACTTTGGGAGGCCATAGGTGGCAGATCACCTGAGGTCAGGAGTTCAAGACCAGCCTAGCCAACATGGTGAAACCCCGTCTCTACTAAAAACACAAAAAAATAGAAAATTAGCCAGACGTGGTGGCAAGCACCTATAATCCCAGCTGCTTGGGAGACTGAGGCAGGAGAATCGTTAGACATGTGTGTGGAGGGTGCATGTCTGGGAGTGCCTGCTGTGTGGCGGACACACTTGTGTTCTGCTTCTTGTTTGAGCCCCTTTGGGACTGTCCTCACTGGGTAACCTCATCTCCTGGAGATAATGCTGTTTGCCAGTGAGAGACTGATTTTAATCCCATCTGCCTGGCTCCAAAATCTGGACCCTGCTATTATGTTAAGTGCTGACTTGGGGGGTTAGGCGTCCAGCCTCCAAACCCCGCTTTCTCTAAAGCAGGGAGGCTTTGCCCCCCAGGGGACATTTGACCCTGTCTGGAGACACTTTTGGTCATCACAGCTCAGGGGAGGGTGTCACTGGCATCCAGTGGGTAGAGGCCAGGGATGCTGCTCAATATCCTAATGGCACGGGCCAGCCCCAACAGAGATGCCTGGGCTGGGCTCGGTGGCTCACGCCTGTAATCCCAGCATTTTGGGAGGCCGAGGCGGGCGGATCACCCGAGGTGGGGAGTTTGAAACCAGCCTGACCAACATGGAGGAACCCCGTCTCTACTAAAACTACAAATATTAGCTGGGTGTGGTGGCGCATGCCTGTAATCCCAGCTGCTCGGGAAGCTGAGGGAGGAGAATCGCTTGAGCCTGGGAGGCGGAGGTTGCGGTGAGCCGAGATCACGCCATTGCACTCCAGCCCTGTTAACAAGAGCGCAAAGAAATAGCAACTGTCGGCCGGTCGCGGTGGCTCAAGCCTGTAATCCCAGCACTTTGGGAGGCCGAGGCAGGTGGATCATGAGGTCAAGAGATCGAGACCATCCTGGTCAACACGGTGAAACCCCGTCTCTACTAAAACTACAAAAAATTAGCTGGGCATGGTGGCACATGCCTGTAATCCCAGCTACTCAGGAGGCTGAGGCAGTAGAATTGCCTGAACCCAGGAGGCGGAGGTTGCGGTGTGCCGAGATCGCGCCATTGCACTCCAGCCTGGGTAACAAGAGCGAAACTCCGTCTCAAAAAAAAAAAAAAAAAAAGAAATAGCAACTGTTGCTGCCTCTTCTAGATGGGCTGAGACCTCATGCCTCTGATACAGTCGTTTTCCATCTCACGTTTTTGTGTCTGGGGTCCTGCTGAGGGCAGTGTGATTTCATCACTTGAACACTTTGTGAAACTGTGAGGCGGGCAGGAAGCACCCTGCCATTTCATAGATGGGCACACTGAGCCTCCCCCAACTGGGCCCTGTGCCTCCGGCTGGGGTGGATAAGAACAAAGCAGGGCAGGGCATGGGGAGCTCCGGGAGGCCGTGATCAGAGCCTCTGGCTCTGCTGCTTCCCGGCGTGATGGCCTCTTGTGTCCTCACGTGGGCAGGGGATTGTGAGACCTGCGGCTGGGCTGGGGTGAGGTGGGTGAAGGTGCTGGGCAAGCGTGGAATTGATTTTCTGTGGGGACTGTTTCTCTGTTGGCCCAGGGGGAATTTGAGGTTAAGAACATGGACATGAAGCTGGGGTCAACCCTGAAGATCACAGGCAGGATCGATGATGGCGCTGATGGGTGAGCAACGTTGCGGGGTGGGGGGTCCCCAGGCCTGGAATAGGCAGGGCGCGCGGGGCAGCTCTGTGGAGTGGTCCAGCCACAGGGACCTCAGGCCAAGGGGTCCTTTTTCCTTTTTTTTTTTGAGATGGAGTCTTGCTCTGTTGCTCAGGCTGGAGTGCAATGGTGCGATCTCAGCTCACTGCAACCTCCACCTCCTGGGTTCAAGCACTTCCCTGTCTCGACCTCCTGAGTAGCTAGGATTACAGGTGCACACCACCACAGCTGGCTAATTTTTGTATTTTTAGTAGAGACGGGGTTTCACTATGTTGGCTAGGCTGGTCTTGAACTCCTGACCTCGTGATCCACCCGCCTTGGCTTCCCAAAGTGCTGGGATTACAGGTGTGAGCCACTACGTATGGCCAAGGGGCCCTTTTTCATACCCTTCTCCCCACACCCCTGCTGGCTGCCTTTCTGTGGGGTCTGCCTTCATGCCTGAGGCCAGGTTTGGGGACCTGCAGAATTTCAGACTTGACGCCATATGCTGTGTTCCTTGGCCCCAACAGACATTGAAGGGGCAGGTGGAGAAGCCCCTGGAACTCTGCCTGCCTCCCTTTGGGGCAGGTACCTCTAGGGAAAGCCCAAATCCCCAGAGACACTACAGTCTTTACCCAGCAGAATGGCCACAGGCCAGTCTTTTATGCGCATAAAACTGGGGCAGCTGCCAGGGGATGCTGAGTGGTCTCACAGGCATCCTCTTGGTTAGAACCAGAGGCCTCAGACACCACCTCGGTGACTCACAGTCTAGCGAAGGGCTCTCTAGCCTGTAGAACCTGTCAGTGCATCTTGGAACTGCTCTTTATCTACTTTCGGTTGGGGAGGGGGCTGGCAGGTGCACGTCATAGGAGCTAGGAGAAGGCCAGGTGCGGTGGCTCACGCCTGTAATCCCAGCACCCTGGGAGGCCAAGGCAGGTGGATTGCCTGAGGTCAGGAGTTCCAGACCAGCTTGGCCAACATGGTGAAACCCTGTCTTTACTAAAAATACCAAAATTAGCTGGGCGTGGTGGCGGGCGCCTGAAATCCCAGCTACTCGGGAGGCTGAGGCCCAATTGATTGAACCCGGGAGGTGGCAGTTGCAGTGAGCCGAGATGGCACCACTGCACTCCAGCCTGGGAATCAGAGGGAGACTCCATCTCAAAAAATAATAAGTAAAAATAAAGGAGCTAAGAGAAAAATGACCTCTTTCTCCTAGGGTTCCTCAAGTTTGCCAAAATGTGTGATACCCTTGGTCTGAGACTCCCGAATGAAGGTACCCCATGACCCAGAATGCCCCGCTTTCAGGAACCCCGAAGGTCTAACCCAGGCTCCTATAGTGATCCTGCCAAGAAGTAATAATACCACGGTTGCTTCCCTGCAGTGATGGGGAGCTCACCACATTAGGCTGGCTGTTTGTGGTTAAATTTAATAGGTCTTCAGATATCTAAGAGATAGCATTTCACTCTCCCAGGAGAGCCACCCCCAATTCCTGAAGCTGTCACTATCAGTTACCCTTCTACCAACAGCTTTGATCCCTGCTCCAAATGGAAATGCGCCACCACAGCACTGAGTCCGACCCAGGTGTTACCGCCCTTGTTAAGGCATGGAGCTCAACTCACACGAGCTTTGATTCTTCCAGCTTGTGGTCCACAAAGATCCTCCAATCCAAGCTGCTTTATCCAGGCCTGAGCCCTGAGCCTCACCTGCTACCCCTTCCCCTGCAGCTTTGTAATTAATCTGGGCCAGAAGACAGACACGCTGAACCTGCATTTCAACCCTCGCTTCAGTGAATCCACCATTGTCTGCAACTCACGGGATGGCGGCAACTGGGGACAAGAACAACGGGAAGGTCACCTGTGCTTCAGCCCAGGGTCTGAGGTCAAGGTGAGGTCAAAGGGGGAAAAGGGACTGGGGCGAGGTCAAGGGGAGGGCCCAGATGGGAGTGAGTCTGGCCGGGACACAGATGCTGGCACCGTTTGAGCCACCAGGCACTGCCCTGGCCCATTTCCGGGTCTTCCTGCCTCCTTGACACCCTCCCTCCCCACAGTTCACGGTGACCTTTGAGAGTGACAAATTCAATTTGAAGCTGCCGGACGGGCACCAGCTGACCTTTCCCAACAGGCTGGGCCACAGCCACCTGAGCTACCTGAGTGTGAGTGGCGGGTTCACCTTATCCTCTTTCAAGTTAAAAGAATAAAAGACCTCCAGCTGAGATTCCCCATCCTGGGTTTTCTTCAGAGTCACACCAGGATCAACAGCCCTTGGGTCCTGGGTGTGTCCCCTACCGCTGTCTGCAGTTCCTGCCCCAAGGCCAAAAGCAAGCAAAATAATCCATTGTGTCTTCCTGTGGCAAGAACTATGGTTTGTGACTCAGTCTCCTGGGTCCCTCAAGCTTACAAAAACGCTGGATACCCCTGGTCTGAGGACTCCTGAATGAAGGCATGCCATGATCTAGAATGTCCCACTGACAGGGATCCTGAAGGTCTAGCCCAGGCTCCCATAGTGATCCCGCCACACACCTTCTGGTTGCATACCTCTAGTGACAGGGAGCTCACCACCGTATGTTGACTGTTTGTGGCTAAACGTAACAGGTCTTCAGATACCTAAGCACGGGATTTCTCTTTTCATGCATTTTAATGCTCCTGGCATTTTCATGATACAGAGGAGGAAACTGAGATTCAAGGACACCTGACTGCCCCGCTGGGAGGCTGAGACATGCTCCCAACAGTCCTACGCATGTGCTCCTGTCTACCTGCCCCCATATCACCAGAGCAAATGCCACCCTGCCTCGTGGGATTATGGGGCAGACACTAGTCCCAGGCACCTGGGCCAGCGGCCATTCCGGAACTGCAGATAAGGGCTCCCACCTGGGCCTCTTATCTCAGGGGCATTCCAGCCTGGTTACTCATTACCCTCCCCTTGGTGCTCCCCTCCCCTCCCCTGCTGGGGGCCTCGATGGGGGGTCCGTGGCTTTCTAAACTCCCTGGGTGGGGGTACTTAAGCAGGTGTGGAGCAGATGCTGTTCTCCCAGGTCCCCAAGCACCTTGCAGGAAGCCTTTTATCAAAACAGCCTTATTTAATCAGGTCCCAGAGGCAGGTCTGGAGTATACAGGCAGGTGGGATTCCTCCCCGTGAGGCCATAGCTGACCTTCGTGGGATAAGTGGGAGGCTGGGGCGGGGAGGTTGGGGAAGTGGTCTGGGATAGGGCTGTCACAGTTGCAGCGGGGACACTCTGGGATGAGCTGGGGGCAGGCGGTCCCTTTGGGAGGTGAGACAATGGCTCTGTGTGGTACACTCCCTGCCCCCCACCCCACACGGACAGCTTGGTCTGGCACAAAGGCCACACTGTGAGGCTGGGCCCTCCAGCTGGTGGGGGTGGCATGGGGTGGGGCCTAAGGAATAGCTATTAGGTCCAGAGTGGCAGTCGGGGGAGGTGGTCAGCCTGGCAGGCCCCTGGGAGCATCCAAGTCCCAGAGCAAGCCTGGCTGTCCCTGTCCTTCCTCCCATGTCTGTCCTGCAGAGGCGGGGAGGAACTTAGGGCAACTCGGCTTCTCCCCTCTCTGGTCTGGCAGGAATCAGCTGTTAGGTGAGGGGCTGGCTCTGCACCTAGATGGGGCCCCGAGAACAGGCCCCAGCCACTCACACCTTGACCTCATCATCCTCTTCAGCATCTGCAAATTCGAAGGTGTGTGTTTGCACTGTGCTGGGCACCGGGGTCCTGGTGCCTGCCTGGGGCGCCCTCCACTCTTCGTCCAGGCTCTCCCAGGAGGCCTGGGCTTGGGGCACCCGCTCCCGCCGTGTATTCGGGTAGTAGGCGTCGCCACCCCAGCCTGCTCCCCAGTGCCTGCTGAGGGCTGGGTCAGCAGGTCTGAGGGGACCCCCTCCCACTGGGCTGGGCTTCACCTCCACCACTGGGCCCAACCCCGCTGTTACCCCATTGGGACAGCGTCCACGGGGTGTGGAGCTTGCAGCAGGGGCCGAGGGGTTTGCAGCAGGGGCCGAGGGGTTTGCAGCAGGGGCTGGGGTCTCAGCTGCAGGGGTTTCTGGGAGGCTCATGACCCCCAGCAGCTCGCTGAGGAGTGAGGGCCCAAGATCGAGGTCCAGGCGGAAGGACAAGAGAGAGTCCGAGCGGCGGAGCCCCGGCTCAGAGGGGAAGGAAGCATCCCGGTCTCGGTCATGTGGCTTTTCTGAGCGGGGCAGGCGGGAGATGGTGCAGAACCCAGAGTCCAGGCCTAGAAAAGAAACGGGCAATGGGCTCAGAGCTGGAGTCCCTCGTCAGGAATTAAGGAGGGGAGATAGGACCAGTCCTGGCTTGCTGTGTGGCCTCTAGCAAGCCCCTCCCCTCTCTGGCCTCAGTTTCTCCCATCTTTGCAATATAATACGCTTCATGGTCCTGTGTGATCTTTCTATCCTGAACGGAAAGTCGTCACCCTCATTTCCACTCTGCAGGTGAGGAAAGTCAGGCTCAGTTTGGGATGAGAAGGGGCTAGCCCAAGGCCAGAGAATTCTGACGGGGTGGAATCAAGCCTGGAGCTCAAATCTCCTGACTCTCAGTCCCAACTGCGACCTCGGCCATGGCCAGCTCCCTGCCATGACGCTGGCTGATGGCTGCAGGGGAACCCCAGAGCACGAGGCTGGTTTGTGGACACCAACCAGGGATGGGACCAGCAGTCGGGGTCTGACTGCATAGAAATGAAGGACAGACACATGCCTTCCTAAGGGCATGTGGCCCAGCTGCTGCATCCAGGACCACAGACCTGAGACATAATAATCTGTTTCTGTGGACAGGTCCTCAGTGCATTCTGAGCAGCCGCCTGGGGCAGGGAGTGGCCACCAGGTGGCAGCAGGGGCCCATGGTTCCCAGGTGAGCTCTTCCCTAACAGCCAAGGTGGCACTTCTGGCTGGGCAGAAAGGGCCCTGGCTTTCGGCCCCTGTGAGTGGGTTTCCAAATCTGTTGAGTTACAGGACGCCAAGTTCAAATAACAACTGCTCCAGTGTCCTGAGCACCTACTGTGTGCCAGCCCCTGGGCCTCTCCTGGCCCTGGGTCTTAGCAATGATCCCAGAGACTCATTATCTAGGTGAGGACTTGAACTTATAGAAGTCAGTTGACTTCCTGGAAATTAGGCAGAACTGGACTGGAATGCAGAGCCCAGGCGGCCCTTCACCTCTCCATAGTATCATTCCGACACGTGGCTGAATGGGGCGAGGACAGGTGGTTGACTGGTTCAGCTGAGGCCCAGAGACGGGGAGGTGCTTGCCCGGGTCACAGCAAGTGAGGGGCAGTTAGAACTCAAACTCCACCCCCTCACTCTCAACCCCGGGTGTTTCGGGGAGTCCGCCTGTTCCCACCTCTGCAGGCCCTCCTCATCTGTAATGTGGGGTTTGGGCCTGACCTCTGCGGTGAGACCAAGGGACCTGGGGGAAAGAGCTCATTTGGAGCCTGGAGGAGCCCCTGGTCCCCTCTGGGCCTCAGCCTCAGCCTCTGAAAAGTGGGTCAGCAACCCAGGCTCTCACCGTAGCTGGAGCGGCCGTCTGTGGAGCTGGTGGGGCTGCCGTCGAAGCTGAGCTTGCCAACCACGAGGCTGTCGTAGGCGGCCTGGTTGAGCTGGGGCAGGGAGATGGCGTTCTTGATGATGGGGGAGATGGCCGGCGGAGCCGGTGAGGGCGCAGGCGGGGACGCCATCCTCCGGGGGAGCACCCCCACCCTCCGCACTAGCTGCAGCTTCTTGGCCAGGAAGCTGCGGGGTGAGCGATGGGTGCCCCCGGAGCTGCCACCGTGGTTGCTGAGGAAGGAGGTGTCCCCAAAGACGTCCCCGCCACGGCCCACATGCATGGTGTGGCGGAAGTCCCCGAGTGGGGGGCTGATCATGTCTGCAGTCAGCCGCCTCTTTCCCTGGGAACTGGACACCCAGCCCACAGGTGAGAGCTTGCCCAGGCTCATGGTGGGGGCGCCTCCGCCCCCCTGGGGGCCGGGCATCAGCTCTGGCGGCTCACAGCCACTAGTCCATGCCCACCAGGGGCTGGGGGAGGGAGGTGGGCTGGGCTGGGGACCGGTGCTCAGCTCCTTTGCCCTGGTGGAAGCTGTGGATGACGCTCTCCTAAGGTGAGGTCCCTGAATGCTGAGGTCGTGGGGGCTCCATGGCTCGTCTCTCCCCGGGGCCCGGCTCCCAGCCCCTCAGAAGCAGCTGTAGATGTTCAAACGCAGAGAAAGCACCCCCAAGAGGGTCGGCTTCTCTCCTGCCCAGGGTGGTTTCCTAGAAGGAAGACAGAAAGGGTGGTGACGGCCGGTCCAGGGCAGAGGAGGAAATCCGGGGTCCAAACATGGGCAGCTGAAGCGGACAGACAGACGATCATACTCAACCACATGAATGGAGGGGTCCGGCCAATGCGGGGCAGAAGCCAGGCACAATGGGACTCAAGTAAGTCCGTGTATAGAAAGTTCCAGAACACAGCCAGGCTTGGTGGCTTAGACCGGTAATCACAGCACTTTGGGAGGCTGAGGCAGGTGGATCACTTGAGGTCGGGAGTTTGAGACCAGCCTGGCCAACATGGAGAAACCCCATCTCTACCAAAAATACAAAAATTAGCCAGGTGTGGTGGCAAACGTCTGTAATCCCAGCTACTGGGGAGACTGAGGGAAGAGAATTGCTTGAACCCAGGAGGCAGAGGTTGCGGTGAGCTGAAATTGCACCACTGCACTCCAGCCTGGGCAACAAGAGCAAAACTCTACCTAAAAAAAAAAAAAAAAAAGAATTCCTACTGAAGATCCAAACTACATA